TGCCATAAGACCCAGAATTGTCCAGGCCTGAGCGACTGGCTCTGGAGAGATCTGTAGGGTCTGAGCTCAGAAGTGGCCATCGGGCCACCCAGTCCAACCTCCTGGAGACCAGGGGCCATGAAATGTCACCAGCCCCCCTGCCCTGAGCCCCTGGGCATGTGTGTGGCTGAGCCTGGCTCCACTCTGGGGTTCCATGTTGTACAGTCCCAGGGACACACGCCCACACCTGTGCGCTGCTCTGTCCCTGCCATGGAGCAAGATTGGCTCTGCCCCACCCCGAGGGATGGCCCCTGCAGCCCTGGGAAGCCTCCAGCCAAGGGGCTTCCATGGCCCCGGCAGCTGCTCCAGGGGCTCCTGTTCCACATGCAGGAAGCGTTTCCTGAGATTCCCTCTGCACCTGCCCCGCTGCAGGGAGAGCCCTGCCCCGCCCTGCCCGGCAGCAGGAGAGAGCAGCTCCCCCCGCTTCCCTCCGGCAGCCCCTCACGTGTGTGAGATCCCCTGCCCCGCCCCGCCTGGCAGCCTCAGAGCGCAGCTCCCCCCGCTTCCCTCTGCCTCCCCCGCCCTGCCCGGCAGCAGGAGAGAGCAGCTCCCCCCGCTTCCCTCCGGCAACCCCTCACGTGTGTGAGACCCCCTGCCCTGCCCTGCCCGGCAGCAGGAGAGAGCAGCTCCCCCCGCTTCCCTCCGGCAGCCCCTCACGTGTGTGAGACCCCCTGCCCCGCCCCACAGCCTCCTGTCTGCCCCACGGCACCCCAGCTCCTCCAGTCCTGCCCTGCCCCACAGCCTCCTCTCTGCCCCATGGCAGCCCCAGCTCCTCCCGCCCTGCCCCGCCCCACAGCCTCCTCTGCCCCATGGCACCCCCAGCTCCTCCAGGCTTGTCACACCCCAACCTCCTCTCTGCCCCATGGCGCCCCCTGCTCCTCCAGGCCTGTCACGCCCCACAGCCTCCTCTGCCCCATGGCACCCCCAGCTCCTCCAGGCTTGTCACACCCCAACCTCCTCTCTGCCCCATGGCGCCCCCTGCTCCTCCAGGCCTGTCACGCCCCACAGCCTCCTCTGCCCCATGGCACCCCCAGCTCCTCCAGGCTTGTCACACCCCAACCTCCTCTCTGCCCCATGGCGCCCCCTGCTCCTCCAGGCCTGTCACGCCCCACAGCCTCCTCTGCCCCATGGCACCCCCAGCTCCTCCAGGCTTGTCACACCCCAACCTCCTCTCTGCCCCATGGCGCCCCCTGCTCCTCCAGGCCTGTCACGCCCCACAGCCTCCTCTGCCCCATGGCACCCCCAGCTCCTCCAGGCTTGTCACACCCCAACCTCCTCTCTGCCCCATGGCGCCCCCTGCTCCTCCAGGCCTGTCACGCCCCACAGCCTCCTCTGCCCCATGGCACCCCCAGCTCCTCCAGGCTTGTCACACCCCAACCTCCTCTCTGCCCCATGGCGCCCCCTGCTCCTCCAGGCCTGTCACGCCCCACAGCCTCCTCTGCCCCATGGCACCCCCAGCTCCTCCAGGCTTGTCACACCCCAACCTCCTCTCTGCCCCATGGCGCCCCCTGCTCCTCCAGGCCTGTCACGCCCCACAGCCTCCTCTGCCCCATGGCACCCCCAGCTCCTCCAGGCTTGTCACACCCCAACCTCCTCTCTGCCCCATGGCGCCCCCTGCTCCTCCAGGCCTGTCACGCCCCACAGCCTCCTCTGCCCCATGGCACCCCCAGCTCCTCCAGGCTTGTCACACCCCAACCTCCTCTCTGCCCCATGGCGCCCCCTGCTCCTCCAGGCCTGTCACGCCCCACAGCCTCCTCTGCCCCATGGCACCCCCAGCTCCTCCAGGCTTGTCACACCCCAACCTCCTCTCTGCCCCATGGCGCCCCCTGCTCCTCCAGGCCTGTCACGCCCCACAGCCTCCTCTGCCCCATGGCACCCCCAGCTCCTCCAGGCTTGTCACACCCCAACCTCCTCTCTGCCCCATGGCGCCCCCTGCTCCTCCAGGCCTGTCACGCCCCACAGCCTCCTCTGCCCCATGGCACCCCCAGCTCCTCCAGGCTTGTCACACCCCAACCTCCTCTCTGCCCCATGGCGCCCCCTGCTCCTCCAGGCCTGTCACGCCCCACAGCCTCCTCTGCCCCATGGCACCCCCAGCTCCTCCAGGCTTGTCACACCCCAACCTCCTCTCTGCCCCATGGCGCCCCCTGCTCCTCCAGGCCTGTCACGCCCCACAGCCTCCTCTGCCCCATGGCACCCCCAGCTCCTCCAGGCTTGTCACACCCCAACCTCCTCTCTGCCCCATGGCGCCCCCTGCTCCTCCAGGCCTGTCACGCCCCACAGCCTCCTCTGCCCCATGGCACCCCCAGCTCCTCCAGGCTTGTCACACCCCAACCTCCTCTCTGCCCCATGGCGCCCCCTGCTCCTCCAGGCCTGTCACGCCCCACAGCCTCCTCTGCCCCATGGCACCCCCAGCTCCTCCAGGCTTGTCACACCCCAACCTCCTCTCTGCCCCATGGCGCCCCCTGCTCCTCCAGGCCTGTCACGCCCCACAGCCTCCTCTGCCCCATGGCACCCCCAGCTCCTCCAGGCTTGTCACACCCCAACCTCCTCTCTGCCCCATGGCAGCCCCAGCTCCTCCCGCCCTGCCCCGCCCCACAGCCTCCTGTCTGCCCCACGGCACCCCAGCTCCTCCAGTCCTGCCCTGCCCCACAGCCTCCTCTCTGCCCCATGGCAGCCCCAGCTCCTCCACCCCTGCCCTGCCCCACAGCCTCCTCTCTGCCCCATGGCACCCCCAGCTCCTCCAGGCTTGTCACACCCCAACCTCCTCTCTGCCCCATGGCACCCCCAGCTCCTCCAGGCTTGTCACACCCCAACCTCCTCTCTGCCCCATGGCAGCCCCAGCTCCTCCAGCCCTGCCCTGCCCCACAGCCTCCTCTCTGCCCCACGGCACCCCCAGCTCCTCCAGCCCTGCCCCGCCCCACAGCCTAATTTGCCCAGTACTGACATTAAGGCTTTGTCTACACTCGCGGCTTCTTGCACGAGTAATATACAAATGAGGCTAAGCATGGAATATCACCGAGCCTCATTTGCATACCTATTGAGCCACCACTTTTTTCAGAAGAGGCTCTTGTGCAAGGAGCATCTTCACTGCCCCTTCTTGTGCAAGAGAAACCCTCTTGTGCAACGCCGTTACACCTATGACTTTTCAGGAAGAATGGCGTTGCGCAAGAGGGTTTTTCCTGCGCAAGAAGGGGCAGTGTCGACGCTCCTTCTCGCGCAAGAGCCTCTTCTGAAAAAAGTGGTGGCTCATTAGATATGCAAATGAGGCTCGGCCCCACAGGTTGTTTAGCCAACTTCCTGCTTCTGATGTACTTTTACTTTTTGAGTTTTTGGCTAGCTGCTCTTCACATTCCTTTTTGGCTTTTCTTATTGTACTTTTACACTTAATTTGACAACTTTTATGTTCCTTTCTATTTCCCTCACTAGGATTTGACTTTCACTTTTTAAAAGACAGGTTTTTATCTCTCGCTGCTCCTTTTACCTGGGTGTTGTGCCACGGTGGCTCTGTTTTGGTTCTCTTCCTGGTTTTTATGTGGGGTGTACACTGGAGAATTAGCCGTTCCGGAGTAATCACTGTCTCTATTGCTGGGTTTGCAGGTGCTCTATCCATTTGAACGTTCCCTTTCGTTCTTCATTTCACTCTCGTCTGTCACATGCCTCCTTGTCTCCTCTCAGCTCAGAAGCCAAAGATTTTTCCTCAACGGCATCGTCCCCCATTTTCATTTCATGTCTTGGAAACTGCCATTTCCTCTGCTGAGTCCCTTAGACAGCTGGGACAAACCTGAGCTCAGGCTCTTCTCCCTCCCATCACAACATGGTCCTTGGTTTGGCCACTGCTGGGAATGAGCAGCCATTTCTGTGGCCCGGCTTTCAATGGCAGCAGGTGTTTACCTTGACTGTCTTGGGATGTCCCCTGCCCCCCTCCAGCACAGGTGTGGGCAGAGAGTCATCTTTCCCTGCTCAGATACTGAGCAACAGGGCGAATGGGGCTCTCTAACCTGCGTTTCATTGCAGTAAGGAACAAAGATGTCGGGTACTTGAACCCAGACGGCTTCAGTTCATTGTCTGACCGCAAAGAGACAGGCAACACCAGCAAGGTCTAATCACAAAACTCTTTATTGAAGAGTGCACACGACAGTAGAGAGCAGCCTGTCTCCACTGAGAACCAGCCCCGATTCCTATAGCAAGTGGGGTTCTATAAACAGTTCCGTCGTGTCATCGACTGTTCACTGAAGCAACCCACCCTCCTTTGTTAGTTAGACACTCAAGCATGCATGCAGACCTTGCCAACTCTACAAGGTGGCCTTGAGACATCAGCAACTTTCGTATTACGACAGAAGGCAAGTACCAGCCAACGAGGAGACAGGGAGTTTTCTTATCAGTTTCTTAAGCAAGCTGTTCAGCTCAGCAAGCACAAAAATGCAGCTGTTCACTTATCTCATTTTTTGTTGCTTAGGCAGGAATTTGAAATACGGCCTTGCTCAACTCATGTCTCAAATTTTGTTCAGGGACGACCCAGAACCCTTTGCTGGACTCTTCTCGGTCTGTCTTAGCATAACTGCCCTAGGCCCAGTGTTCTGTGGGCTAACAAAGAGACGTAGCCAGTGTCCACAGGCGTGTTTCCGAGGGGGGGGACAGGACTAAAGAGGTTTCACACACCGCAACGTGTACGAAACACTGGCACCAGGAGCACCCTCAGCGATGGAACTGGCATTCACTGCCCAGTTGGTCATGTCTGATGTCTCTGTAGAAGGAAACGCTCATTCTTTCGTTTGTAAAGAGCCCCCTGTCTGCTTCACCACCACAGCAGCCTCCCTCTTCGCATTGTCTCTCTCTCCATCCAGGAGTTTGTGCTGCAGCTGTCACCCGAGATCTTGGGCGCCTGCAAGAAGTCGGGGAATGCGCTGTACGTGCAGGAGACCCCGCTCTGCCTCACAGTCGGACCCCTTCTCCCTGAATCCATGTCAGAGCCCAACACAACCCACTTCACCAACCCCTCCACCTTCATCCTGCTGGGCATCCCTGGCCTAGAGGGGGCCCACGTCTGGATCTCCATCCCCTTCTGCATCATCTACACTACTGCCCTTTTGGGGAACTTCACCATCCTCGTTATTGTGAAGACAGATGCAAGACTCCATGAGCCCATGTACTATTTCCTCTGCATGCTGGCCATCAGTGACCTGGCCCTGTGCACATCCACCCTGCCCAAAACTTTGGCAATCTTCTGGTTCAATTCCAGGGAGATACATTTCAATGCCTGCCTCACCCAGATGTTCTTCATTCATTCCTTCTCAGTGATGGAGTCAGGGATCTTCGTGGCCATGGCTGTGGATCGCTACGTGGCCATCTGTGATCCCTTGAGACATTCCACCATCCTGACAAAGCCTGTGGTGGCCAAGATGGGCCTTGCCCTGGTGCTGCGTGGTGCCCTCATCATACTCCCTTATACATTCCTGGCTTTGCAGTGGCCATATTGCAGAACCAACATCATCCCCCACACGTACTGCGAGCACATCGCCGTAGTTAAGCTGGCCTGTGCTGACGTCCGCATCAGTAGTTACTATGGGCTCTTTCTGGCATTCTTTGTGATGGGTCTGGATGTGTCTTTCATTGCCATGTCCTACACCCAGATCCTCAGGGCCATCTTCCGCCTCCCAACCAAGGATGCCCGAATCAAGACTTTTGTGACCTGCGGCTCCCACCTGTGTGCCATTTTAGCCTCTTACATCCCCGCTTTCTTCTCCTTCCTCACACACCGGTTTGGTCACAATGTGTCCCCACACGTCCATATTATCATTGCCAATGTGTACCTCCTGGTGCCCCCCATGCTACATCCCATCATCTATGGGGTGAGGACCAAAGAGATCCAGGTCAGGCTGCTCCGAGTCTTAGCACAGAAAGGGACGTAAGGTTTTCTCCTGGAGCCCTGGCTCGCAGACCCAGCTCCATGCAGAGATGGCTAATGACCTGGTTCTGGGCCCTCTTCCGTGAAACACTGACTGGATGAACAAAGAAACATTCAACCCTTTCCTGGCCAAAGGTTACTCTATCAGTGACCCATCGTTGTCCCCTTTCTAATTGTTATTACCTGGACCCCTGCGGCCCCATGCTATGTCTCTTCTCCAAAAGCCTCATCCCTGCCTTATTTCCCCACTAACTACTGACCCTTGTCAATTAAGGATGAGTCCCCTTCACCACCTCTTCCCTCACGGACCCTCCACTGTCACTCACTCCTCTCCTCCCCACTCCTCCCTCACTGGATCATTTCCACCTCACTGCCCTCCACAGGGGGCACCTCTCAACTCCAGCCCTGGATGAGCTGGGCTGAGGTGGGCTAATGAACTGGACCCTCCCTCCACCTCTCAGCACCTGGAGTCTGCCAGATATCCTTTGAACAGACTGTCTGGTTGGAAACAGGGTGCCTGGCAACTGTAAGAGGCACCTGGACAGCGACACCAAACCCCAGACTGTCCGGGTACAAGCAGACAGGAGGGAGCCCCAGTGACTCGCGTTGGGGTGCGTGAACCATCGGTACCTCATGTCTTTGGGCTTTTCCAGCACCCTTCCCTCTCTCACCTTGCGCCCCGAGGCCAGAGGCTGGGGTGGGGCATCTGTCTATGAACAGGCTGCACATTAAGGACTCCCAGCAATTAGTGAGCTCTCAGCCGACACGAGAAAGGAGTCACTGCAGTCGAGATCAAACCAGCTTCCTCCAGGGTCTCTGCAGAGGGGCAGGGGGGGAGGGACGGTACCTCCCTAGAAGAGGGCACAGAAGGAGGAGGGTTGGTCCAGCCCTTCAAAACCACAGTGACCGGAGGAGCCAGAAGACGCTGGGGCAGGAGAGAGGCCTGAGGGCGGCTGAGGGGACTCTGGGGCAGGGCTGTGGGTGCAGCAGGGACAGACTCTGGCTGGGGGAGAAGCCAGGACTTGCAGGAGGAGGCCCCTGGACACCTTAGAGGGCTCTGGCCGAATTCCGAGCTCTGGCCTAGGGCGGTAGGTCACAGAGGTGGGCAATGGGGCGCAGGGGCTGTTGTGTTTCCTGGATCTCGGTATCACCTGCGCTGGGTAAAGAAGATGAATTATTTTATTAAACCCTTTCCAGAGCCCCGGTCTGTTTGCTGTAATGACCATGTGACCCGCAAGAGCGAATCGGGAATCGTGGGGCGCCCAAGGGGCAGCTCTGGGAGGGATGCGCTGAGGCAATGGCAGAGTCTGGGGGAGCAGAGCTGAAGCCAGGCTCAGGGATTTGGCATTTGGGGCTCAGGTCTCCGCTCCCAGTGGGAGGGGCTGGAACGGAGGCTGCACCCGAGAGTGGAGCTGGAACCCCCCAGCCGGAGGCAGGGCCGGATCCCGGCTCAGACTCAGCCCCACAAGGGTCCGGTGGGTGGGACCTGACACAGGGACTCCCAGGGACACGCAGAGCAGGATTGGGTCTCTGTCATTGGCATGGCTGCGACTGCAGCTGGAATCCCATGTCCTATTCTGGTGTCCGTGGTCGCAGGTGGAGGTGGGGACATTGGGGAGGCTCAGAGAGGAGTCCCAGGAATTAGTATAAGATTAACACCTGCCTTGCTGTGATAGGCCCATAGTCTAACTACCTGAGCAAAGGTGGGGGAGGGTGAGCTAGTAACAGTCTGTAGGTACCTTTAGGGGATACAATATTAGGTAACAGGCCTCCCAGCTGAGCACACAGGTGTGCTGCACAAGCCAGTGGCTGGAGGTTGAAAGTAAAGAAATTCTGGCAGGAAATCTGCACATGAGTTCATTGGTGACCGTAACTATCTACCAGGGGTCATGGCCGATTCCTCATCTCTGGGAATGTTTAGCTCAAGGCTGTCTCTCTAACGCACTGGTCACCAGCCTGGAGACTGGGATCTTGTGGTAGATCTTGCAGCCTCTGACAGGAGACCCTGACTGGTTTGGCCTGGAGCTAGAGCACTTCACTTGCCTTCCCCCTGACTGCCTCAGCTTTCGAGCAGGCCCCCCAGGGGGCTTCTGTTTGCTGTACAGGGTGGGGCAGCAGAAGAGAGGGGCCACTGATGTCAGGGTGTCCCCTTCTCCCCAGCTCTGTACCCGCATCTGCACAGAATGAGCAGGGGGGGGCCTTGGAGAAGGGGTAGGGAAGGAGGTGGGACACGGAGATTTGGGTTTGGGGTAGATCCTGGCTTGTCTTAATTTGTAAAAGTGGTCTTGCACTTAAGAAGGCTGGAGACTGCTGCTCCAAAGGATCTGCTCTGGGAATGATTCTGGGGGCGTTCTCGGGCCTGCGGGATGCAGAAGGGATGCTCCCAATGGTCCCTTCTGTCCTTGCATCCTGCAAACATGTCCCAGGAGTCAGCTGGGCCCATTAGCCCTGCAAGCTCGTGCTGAGCTCAGTGTAGGTGTTGTCTGTTCATATCCATGGGCAATTTAGCCCTCCGGGGAGAAATTCAGATGTGACGACAGCCCCTCGGAAATGCCACTATAGATGGGTGCATCACAGGGCTGGGGCACGGCATAGAATTATCATTGTAGGTGAGAAAAATAACCTGAGCCCGAAAAGCCTCCAGACTGAGCAATGAACGTGCATCCCTGGCCATGAGGCACTCACGGGGCTGGTAAGCAAACCCCCCGCAGCGTCCTGGGGTGAATGTCCATGTGCCACTGAGTCAGGCCACTCCCAGTGGTTCCTGCTCTGTTTCTCTAGGCCCTCACATGTCCCAGGATTCTCATTCTATCACGTGCAGGTGTATCCCTGGCAGACCCCGGTCGTCTGCAGCCAGAATCGTACCTGGGACCTTTGGAGATTCGTGCATTAGCCAATACTGCAGGGGTGAGGAACCCTGAGGCCCGGGCTCCGGATGGGATAATACGCACAACAGGAATATTGGTACAGAAGGGTGCAGCTTGCTCAGGAAGGATGGTGGGGGGAAGGAGCGGGTGTTGCCTTATATATTAAAAATAAATTCAGCTAGACTGAGGTGGAGATGGACGTAGAAGACAGATGTGCTGAGAGTCTCTGGGCTTGGTTAAAAGGGGTAAAAACCCTGGGTGGAAATCCCACACCATGCTCTCCTTACTTGCACACTGTGGCTGGTGGAGGTGCCGAACTGAAGGCGGCAATGGCATCCTATGCCCCCTGTACAAAAACAAGTAGTGTGGATGTTTCCTTTTTGCACAAAAACCCACTTTTGTGCAAGATCCTTACGCCTCAAAAAAGGAGGTATAACGATCTTGTGAAAGGGGGGGTTTTCAAAAAGGAAATGTCCACACTGCTTGCTTTTGTGCAAAAACCCCTTGCTCAAAAACACATTGGAAGAGATTATGCAAATGAAGTGTGAGAAAATGCTAATCCACGTTTTATTTGCTTTGCCTCTTCCGGCAAAACTCAGTGTGTGAACATAGCCTCAGAGAGTAGTTATTAACAGTTCCCAGTCATGCTGAAAGGGCATAACAAGTGGGGTTCTGCAGGGATCTGTTTTGGGACCCGTACTGTTCAATATCTTCATCAATGAGTTAGATATTGACATAGAGAGGACACTTTTTAAGTCTGCAGATGATCCCAAGATGGGAGGGGTTGCAAGTGCTTTGGAGGAGGGGGTGAAAATTCAAACTGATCTGGACAAACTAGAGAAATGGTCTGAGGGAAACAGAATGAACTTTAATAAAGACAAATGCAAAGTGCCCCACTTAGGAAGGAACAATCAGTTTCACACACACAGAATGGGAAGTGACTGTCTAGGAAGGAGTCCTGTAGAAAGGGATCTAAGGGTGTGTCTGCAGAGCCTCACCCACCTGCCACACAAACATGTTCCCTACCCTCTGCTGCTTCTATACGGCTTCCCAGCTTCCCTCTCTGCCCTTGTTTGATGTGTGAGGCCCAGCACTGTGTCCTCATAGCATCTCCTGTCACTGCCCAGGAGTAGAGGAAGCCCACCTCAGTGGTCCTGGGATGATAAGTAGGAAACAGAGAGGCGGAGTAGATGGCTGGGCTGCAGGTGTCCAGACTCCTGCAATGAGCAAGGTGCTGGCCCGATGCGTCTGAGAGCTGTGCCCAGACCCATCCCCAGGGTCTCCCCCTGACACAGCAGTGAGGGCAGCAACAGGGATTAAGGTCTCTGACTGGCCAGAAGCTTCAAGAGTCATATGAGCTTCTCGCCCCACGGAGCTCCCTCCAAGAGCCAGAGCCCCAGGACCAAACATTAGGAGCCTTTACGTGTAATTAGCTGGAGCAGCCTGTCCCGGATCTGTTTGGTTCTCACCCCATAGATGATGGGGTTTAGCATGGGGGGCAGCAAGAGATGCAGGCTGGACATGAGAACATTGACATACAGAGGCACATTCTGGACGTAACGGAAAACGAGGGATGAGAACAGACTTGGGACATAAAATAGTGCAATGGCACAGAGGTGGGAGCCGCAGGTCCCAAAAGTCTTGAGCCGGGCGTCCTTTGTGGGGAGGCGGAAGATGGCCCTGAGGATCTGCACATAGGACACAGCGATAAAAAACACATCCACGCCATGCACACAGATTATCAAAAACAGGCCAAAGTGACTACTGATGTGGGTGTCAGCACAAGCCAGACTCACCACGTTCATGTGCCCACACTGTGTATAGGCAACAATGTTGGTTCTGCAATATGGCCACTGCCTTGCCAGAAGGACCATGGGGAGGACAAATATGATGCCGCGCAGTACGACAACCAGGGCGCTCTTGACCAAAACTGGGTCTGTCATGATGGCAGAATATCTTAGGGGATTGGAAATGGCCACGTAGCGATCCACAGCCATGGCCACGAAGATCCCAGACTCCATTGTGAAGATGCCATAAATGAAGAACATCTGGATGAAGCAGCAATTGAAATCGATCTCCCTGGAATTGAACCAGAAGATGCTCAGCATTTTGGGAAGGACAGACGTAGTAAGGAACA